CATTTTATCTCTCATCAAAGATGGCATAAAACATACATTATTGTACTCTGGAGGGGAGTTTGACAGAGTATAACTCAAAAAGTACACGATAAAAGTACTTGATTGTACTTGTGGTCGTACTCCAAGTAGTACTCTGTCCAGCAGTACCACTCCCACTGAGAACCTATGGCAAAAAATCATTTTATCTCTCATCAAAGATGGCATAAAACATACATTATTGTACTCTGGAGGGGAGTTTGACAGGGTATTACTCAAAAAGTACACGATAAAATTACTTGATTGTACTTGTGGTCGTACTCCAGGTAGTACTCTGTCCAGCAGTACCACTTTTACTGAGAACTTATGGCAAAAAATTATTTTATCTCTCATCAAAGATGGCAGAAAACATACATTATTGTACTCTGGAGGGGAGTTTGACAGGGTATCACTCAAAAAGTACACGATAAAAGTACTTGATTGTACTTGTGGTCGTACTCCAAGTAGTACTCTGTCCAGCAGTACCACTTTCACTGAGAACTTATGGCAAAAAATAATTTTACCTCATCAAAGATGCAACCCTGTCTCCTAAAAATTACGTTCCCACAGAACTAAACTGCATTCTGAATTACGTTTAGCTTTAAACGTATTTACTCCCACGTTACGTTCGTTATGAACGTATCTAAAATACGTTTATTTTCTACATATCTTCTAGAAACATATTTTCTCCCACGTTACGTTCCTTATGAACGTATCTTAAATACGTTTATTTTCTACATATCTTTGCCATTTATTGTCTTGCTTATAATAATGATAATAGTCATTTATAAATATCATTTTAGAGCACACCTTTGAAATCGAGAATCAGGCTCGATATATGGTTCAATTAAAATCAGTAGGCGAGGCTGTAATTTCGCCAGCTGTTACTCTCATGAGCGAGGCAGAAAATAATAGTTTTAACATGACAAAAAGCTGCTGTGTCGTTTACCTCAAACATTAAAACAAATCCAGAGTTACGTGTTTCTGTACTTCCTCTAAGAAGAAAAGACAGTAAAAGAAGAGCTCTGTGGCTTCAGGCTTGATCGCCGTTCAAATGACAGCGTTGGTTTCCCCAAAAGTGGGCGGGGCTGTAAAGTGACGTAGATTTTACTATCATCTATTATTCAAATCCATTCTATTTATTCTAACGTAAATTACATGCCAGTGTTTTATCTTTTTATTTATTTGTTTTTATTTTAAATCGTATAAACGTCTGTGAGGAAAATAAATGGGATTTAGAGCCTCAAAATACTGAAATCTGTATTTTTTAAAATCTTTTCCTTCTAATTTGTTATTATTTTCTAAATAACACACTGTTATTTACTCAACAATAACACACAATTATCCTTGTTTTTATTTATTTGTTTAATTCTATAATCTTGGGCTTTTTAGCCGTAAATAAAGTCACCAGAAACAGACGGGACATTTCGAGATTTAGGATGGCCGAAGACACTACACTACCCATAATCCCCAGCTATCGTTTGGGACTACAGTCCCGTTGACAAACCCCGTGATGTTGGAGTGGCAGTGCGCCAAGGTTACGCCGAGCGTCAAGCTCTTTGAAATGGAACGAAACCACGGCAGACTATTCAAAACTGGACTCGAACGCCCCCCGAGAAATACACATGCTGGCTATTGTGTTTCGCAACATGTTCTCTATGGCACGTATCTACTGGGAATTGTAGTTTTAAAAGACGTTTTTCCCAAAATTAGAAGTTGCCAGTATTAAACTGTGTACAGCCCTGGAGGTTTAGGCGATAGGAAACACATTGGTGTGTACACATTTAAAACATGTAATTACTAAATGGGTAAAAATCGCTTATATCCATAATGGGCAGCATTAATATATACCCACACGACAGCTTACTTTGTAATTCTACTCCACTACAATTCAGAGGTTAACCTGGTATTTTTACTCCACTACATTTAGTTTAGTTACTTTGCAGATTCTGATTAATGATGTGAAATATAAACAACCCTTAAAGCAGACTTTAGTTACACCTGAGTAAAATTCAGGGAAGGTGATTGTCAAGTGCCAACAATCAGGAGAGATATTTGATAGGTGGTGCTTGAGAAGACGAAACATTTATCTGCAGATCTCTATAAAGTATATTCATTACTCGTTATTCTCTACTAATAGTTAATTAAAAACTGTATAATGGCTATTTTGCACATCCCTTTCAAGATTTCAAGATTTTCTAAGGTTTATTGATCATATACACAACTTGGGTTGCAGGTTCCTCAACAGCGCATTACAAGACATCTATCAATATGTGTGTACCTCCACCATTAAACTGTCATATTCTGCACATTTCTTATTCTATCTACATACATAAGAGTATAATTAATGTGTATAATATCAGTTAAAAGAAGTGCTTCAACATAGTTAACATTGCAGGAAAGCAATATATTAGACGTTAAGTACTTTGTCAGGCTTAATATTCATCGGTAGATAGATACCCCCAAAGCTTTTTTCTTGTTTAAAATAAGACCTTAACCTAAAGTATTCTTTAATGTGTTAATAAAGGTTAATTCGTTTTTCTGTTTTGCACATCCTCCTATTAATATCTTTGTACATCCGGCACTAAACTGTTTTATTGTAGAGATCACTTATAGTATCTTCTTGACTTTTTATATTCTATATTTCTATCATTGACCTTCTACTTTCCCCCTATGAAAGTATGTACTCTTAATATTGTTTTCATCAAATAACATTATTCAACAAAAATAATTCAATAACGTGCTTTAACCACTAGGCGGTGCACACAAGGTACACACAGCATACTAATAATAACTTTGTATTATTAGTGTAGAACACTTATGTATGTATAACATCTGAAGATGTGTAGTTTTATTCATGTTTTTACATAATTTTACAGGATATTGCTATATTATTTCACATGTTTTACTTCTACACATTAATATCTGATTTGTAAAACATCACAGACCGAAAGGTATATCCGTCATTTAATGGTACGCTATTGAAATTCTGAATCCATAGATGTGTCTCCCATCACCCAAATCCCCTGACTATTCTCTCAACTCAGTATTTACATTCTTATATTCAAAGAAAATCAGTAATGTAGCTCTTTTCACGACACAGACACAGGTCGGTTCTTTAAAACGGGCGTTTATTTCTTGGGAGTTTTCATCCTGTAGTCTTCCCTCTTCCGTTACGCTGTGAGAACTACGACACCGAAATGACACGCATACATAGCCAAACACATTAGCATATTGTGCTACACATATGAATGAAAACAAGAAAATGAAAACACAAAACAAATACCTCGTTGGCCGCTTGTCGTGAAAGGAGATTAATTTAGTTCCTTTTCTGCATAACTTCGTCACAGACCTCCCGTCACACTAAACTTTATCACAGACCTCAGCAGAGCTTCAAAAAGACGTCAACCCACATGGAGTTGTACAGTGTAACAGCAAAACACGCAGTACCAGCACATGAACAAACATTAGTTGCTAGGCACAAGAAACACATACGCATATCGGCCCAAGATGTAAAACAAACTGTATTAAATCATGCCATATTTAACGATTATAAATAACATGAAATAAAGTATTCATTTATCCAATTGAACTATGACATTAACCGTGTTACTCCTTTTAATTAAGGCAACTTCGTTACGTCATTTACACTCCCACCAAATCACTCATTAACTCAAATGTGGGATTTCGTTCAAACAAAATGCAAAGAAACAGTCAAGTGTTTTCAGTGTGTATGACTATACTCTCATGTATGGGACTTAAGTGGCCTGAAGTAAGGTGACTACCTTATGAATAGGTCTTTCGAGGTAGACTAGTCTAGTGTGTGGTTTTCCTTTATCAAGTGTAGTGTTACTGACTAGTAACTTTAGCTTTCGCACCAAGCCGTCTGTTCCAGGGTGAGTTTCTACAACTCTGGCGAGCTTCCACTCATTTCTTGGTAGGTTGTCGTCTCGCAGAATGACAATGTCATCTACTTGTGAATTTTGTGATGCCTTTGGCCATTTCTGCCGCTGTTGGAGGTTTAGCAGGTATTCTCGTTTCCATCTTCGCCAGAACTCATTGGCTAAGAACTGCACTCTTCTCCATCTCTTGCGCAGATAGAGGTCTTCTTTACAGAACTCTCCAGGAGGGGGCAGAATAACTGATGACTTCATGGTTATTATGTGGTTGGGAGTGAGAGGCTCTGGACCAGTAGGATCGTGGAGGTGTTCAACACTTAACGGCCTGCTGTTAATTATTGCCATTGTTTCGTAAAGGAATGTTCTCAGAGTTGTGGTGTCTAGTCTGCTTGCAGACTTGTCTAACATGACTGTCAGAATGCTTCGAATCGTTCTGATTTGGCGTTCCCAGACTCCTCCCATATGGCTTGCTGAAGGAACATTCATTACAAATTCGCAACCAATTGCTCGTTGACGTTCCTGATCCATTCCTTTGAGCAACTCAGAAAACTCCCTCCTGGCACCAATGAAGTTTGTTCCTTGGTCGCATCGTAATTGGCGCACAGGTCCTCTGATTGCTACCATTGTTCGAAGTGCATTCATGAAGGCATCTGTCGTCAAATCGTCTAGCGTCTCTATATGCACCGCTCTGGAGCATAGGCAGGTAAACAACAATCCATATCGTTTTACCTCCTTTCTTCCTTCCTTCACAATAAAGGGACCAAAACAATCTATACTGCAGTAAGTAAACGGAGGGGATGTCTCGGTTCTGTCTTCTGGCAGATCGGCCATTTGTTGAGTCTCTGTGGTTCTTCTGTATTTCCTACATTTTACACACTTGTAGATGTGTGATGAAACTACATTTCCACATCCCAGGATCCATATTCCATTCGCACGTACCTCATTCATTGTCATGCCTCTTCCTTGGTGATGTACACGCTCATGATGATGTTTGACGAGCAAGGCGGACACATGAGCTTTCTTCGGAAGTATTGCAGGATGTTTTATGTCATGATGTAAGGCTGATTGAGATAGCCGTCCTCCCACCCTAAGAACATTGTTCTTGTCCAGGAAGGCATTCAACAGGTGTAGCTTGTTGTGCTTGTTCAAGGTGCTTCCCTTTTGAAGCTGAACTGTTTTAATTTCTTCGGTGAAGGCCTCTTCTTGCACCAGCTTGATAATAAAGATTTCTGCTTCTCTTCTTTCTGCAAGGTTAGTTGCTTCATTAGTTCTTGGCTGAAGTCTCCTGGATTCTCTGACAAATCTCTTGAGTCTTGCGACAGCTCTCACTGTCCTGGACCAGTCAGAAAACTTAGAGAAGCGGTTCAACAGTGAATTTTCTTCCTTAGTTTTGACTGTGTGAACATGAACTTTGCGAAGTTCAGGATCGTCTGTTTCCACTGCTCTCACCTTCTCTTCACATGGAAGGTTCAGCTGGAAAAGAAAGTCAGGTCCTTTTAGCCAGTTAGACTCTTTGAGCTGAACTGCGCTCAGCCCCCTTGAGGCGTAGTCGGCTGGGTTATTTTCAGAGCTGACATGTCGCCATTGTTCAGGGTTGGTGCTAGATCTTATGCGCTGGATACGGTTGGCAACAAACGTGTGGAACCTCTTGGCATCGTTGTTCAAGTAACCAAGGACTACCTTTGAGTCAGTCCAGTAATATTCTTGCAGGTTTTCAATCTCCAGCTCGCGTTTGATGACATCACCATTGCGTACTGAAGTCACAGCTGACGACAACTCAAGTCTTGGGATAGTCGTTAGTTTGGTAGGGGCTACTCTTGCCTTCCCCATGATGAGTGAGCAATTGATCTGACCTGTTTTGCTTATAGCTCTGAGGTAAGAGCATGCACCGTAGCCGTTGGTACTTGCATCTGAAAAGTTGTGCAGTTCATATTGTTTGACCTCGCCAAAGCTTGATGGAAGATAACATCTTGGAATTTTTAGGGTTGCCAAGTGAGATAAACCTCTAAGCCATGACTCCCATTGTGGCAGGATATGAGCAGGGAGAGCTTCGTCCCAGCTCACTCTGTCCCGACATAGAGTCTGAAGGATTTGTTTTCCGAGGAGCACAAAGGGGGCCACAAATCCAAGAGGATCAAAGACAGAGGCAACGGTTGAGAGAACTCCCCTCCTTGTCAGTGGATTTTCCTTAACCACAACTCTGAATTGGAATTCATCTGCTTCAACACACCACTGAACTCCAAGTGCTCGCTCAATATGAAGTTCTCCAAGAGTTAAGTCTAGATCCTTGTTTTTGGCAAGTTCTTCAGGTGGTATTGCGGCAATCACCTCTTTGTCGTTGGATACGAACTTGTGAAGACGAAGATTTCCTGTTCTGCACAAGGCTCTTGACTCTTCAACAAGACAGATGGCTTCAGCCGGTGACCTTACACTTATTAGGTCATCGTCCACATAGAAACTTCTCTGTATAAACTTGATGGACTCTTCACTGAACTTCCCATGACCCTGGGATGCCAGATGTTTGAATCCAAAGTTGGAGCAGCCAGGGGATGACGCTGCTCCAAACAGGTGCACTCTCATCCTATATACTGAAGGTTTTGAGTCCAGGTCGCCTTTGTCCCACCAGAGAAACCTTAGGTAGTTTTGGTGTTCCTTTGTGACATGAAATTGGTGGAACATCCGTTCAACATCGCACATTATGGCTACCGGACCCTTTCTAAATCTACATAACACTCCAATGAGCGTGTTTGTCAGGTCGGGACCAGTCAAGAGATGATCGTTTAGAGAGGTTTCTTGGAAACGTGCTGAACAATCAAAAACCACACGGATTTTTCCGGGTTTGTGGGGGTGGTAGACTCCGTGGTGCGGAATGTACCATGATATTTGGTTGTTGAGTTCAGACTCTGGAACCTTCTCAGCATCGCCTCTGGTTATTATGTCATTCATGAAATGAACGTAATCCTTGTAATACTGTTCATTTCTCCTTAGTCGTCTTTCCAATGAGATCAGTCTGTGAACTGCAGATCGTTTATTGTCAGGGAGATGAGGGTTATCCGATTTGAAGGGAAGAGGGAGTTCATAGTGGCCGTCTTCTCTTTGGCGGATACCTTCCTTCACTTTAGACAAGAAGAGAAGGTCCTCCTGAAACACTTGGTTATCATCTGTAGTGTGTTCAGTGAAATCCGACTCGAGAACCTTGAGTATGTCTGTTGGATGGATCTCTTTGACTTGAGTTTTGCACACAAAGTGTACTTCTCTCTTCAGCTGAATTGCTGGCTGGACAGCAGGTGTTACTTGTCGCACTACGATTCTGTGACTAGTTCCTATTGTGTCACAGTAATCCTTTGCTGGATTCGAGCAACCGACGATACTCCAGCCAAGATCCGTCCGCTGTGCATATGGATAATTTTCTTTACCGGATAGGATCTCTCTTGGAAGAAGGGCTTGCTGACAGTTATATCCGATTAAAAGACCTACTTCGCAATCCAATGGTGGTGGAATCTTGTCTGCCAACTGTTCCAAATGTGGCCATTTTAGAGCTGTCTCTGAGGTAGGAATGTGTGACCTGTCAACTGGAATGAACTCTCTTGTGAAAAGAGGTGGCAAAGGAATCATTTTTTCCAGGTCGTATCCCCTCACTTGAAGTTCTGTCAGTTTCTGACAGGGTATGACTGTTGACTTTGTTGACATTGTAGATAGCCGCAAACGAACATTTTCTTTGTTTGTGTCAAGATTTTGGGCCACTTCATCTAGAATGAAAGTCGTGTCACTCTGTGTGTCCAAGAGTGCGTAGACAAGAACTTCTTGTTCTGGCTGTTTTGTGGATGAGACCCAGACTGGTATGATTGCGGACGTTTGTGTGCTTGGGCCTTCTTGTATGACTCTGTTGGTGGTTGCAGCGATTTCTTTGGTGTCTGTTTTGTCCTTTGAGATGTCGTCTCCATTAAAGGTAGTTGACATTTTGCCTTTGAACTTGTCGTCATGCAAACACGTTGGATGTCTCCTCTGACACTTTTCACATGTGCTTTTGTCATTGCACGCCTTTGACTGATGACCAGTATTCAAACATCCAAAGCATAGCCTTTCTGCATACACAAACTTGATGCGATCTTCAACTGTCTTTTCTACAAACTTTCTACACTTTGGGAGGACGTGTCCTGTTCCTTTGCAAAGGATGCATGTTGGGATGCTACTTTGTGTTGTGTTTGTGGACAGTGTCTTTGCTTGAATAGTTTGGCTTCTTGGATTCTTTGTTTTTTCACTTTCGACACTCCTGATAGCTTGTATCGAGGATATGGGATCACATGCGAGATCTGCTTCCTTTGATATGAAATCTACAAACACTTTGAATGGTGGGTAACCACCATTTGCATGTCTGGCCTCCATTGCTTTTCGGTTCCAGCCGGATACCAACCAATCTGGCAGTTTCATCAATATTTGTTGACTCTCGTTGCAGTCATTCAGTACTTCTAATGTCTTAATGTGGGGCATTGCAGCCTCACAGCTCTTAAGGAAGTCTGCAAATTCTCTTAGTTCGCTGCCATCTTTAGAGCTTATCTTTGGCCATCCATGTAGCTTGTCTCTGAAGGACTTCCCAATAATAAATGGGTCTCCAAAACGTTTTTCTAACAGCTGCCAGGCAGAGTCATATGCTGCTTCGGTGCCTAACAGGAAGAATCCTTCTACTGCTTTCTTTGCAGCACCTCCTATGTACTTTCTAAGGTAATACAGTTTTTCATTCTTTGGAATGTTTTTCCTGTCTATTAAAGTTTCAAAGGATAGTTGCCAGTCTTTGAATTTCAAAGGATCTCCTGTGAATAATGCAGGCTCTGGTGTTGGAAGGTGATTTGCACTTATTGCTTCTGCTAGTATTTTAACCGAGTCAGCACTATTCTGCATCTGAGCTAAGGGCATTGAGGTTGGTAGAGCTTGTGGTACTTGCTGTGGACTGTGGAGACTATAAGCTTGACTTGCAGGTTGTAGAGGTTGAGGTATGAACAGAGGACTTGAAGCATTGATGACTTGTGCTGTTACTGGCTGAGACTGATAAACGAATGGTGGAGTTGTGGAGTACAGAGCTTGGGTTTCTCTAGCTGGTTCAACATCATACAGTGCTTCATAATTTTCTTCCATTCGATTGTACACCTTGACTCGAGCTCTTGCGGCTTTCAGCTTTTTAACCTCTTCTAGGCGTTCAAGCTTTCTGCGCTTTTCTTGCATTGCCTGAAGTCTGGCTTGCCTTTCTAACTCAAATTGTGCCATCTGTTTTTTATCTTCAGTCTCCAGCCTTTGAAGTTCTGTTGCTTCCTTTTCTTGTTCACCTAAAACTGCTAGGACTTCCTGAGATGCAGCGGCTTCAGCTGCAGCTTCAAATCTTTTGAGAAGACTAGAATGAGCGGAGCTACACTTTGATCGACAAGACAGTGGAGATAATGAAGAGTCAGTTGAGTTTAGAACAGATCCAACATCGGGCCAAGATTCTTCCTTTAAGTCTGCTGTATTCTCTTCAAGCTGTCTCTCTGCCTTTCGAATAATGAATCCTGAGAGTGATATGCATGTATCAACTCTGCGTCGCAGGTTCGGTTCAGGAGTATGTATGAGACGTAACTCTTCATACAAGGCTTTTACATCTGAGCAAGAGCTTTTTATATTTGCAATAAGCTCTCTCAATTCATCCTTGGAGGCGTCATCATTCAATATTTCTTTGCCTATTCTCACATGGTACCTCCATTTCTCATAGACGATTCTGTAGTGACGTTGTACACTTTTCAACTTTTCAGCTTGGAGTTCTTTTCCTTTTTCTGTTAGTGTTCGATTTCTTTCACTTCTTCGTAGCTCTTCCACTTCTTCTGCCAACTCTGTTTCTGTTGTTTCAAGTTGAGCAGATGATTTGGCATTTTTGTGGCAGGTCTCAGTCCCTGCTTCTGACATTTTGAGATTACTTAATAACTTATAACCGACTGTAATAGAGCATGTGTAACTACTAAGCTTGAATTGGATCTCTGAATGTATACATAAGTAATCAGTGAGGTTATCAAATGTATGCACTCATTAACAAGTTTAACTTGACCTCAGCTTTACAACAAAATAACAACAACAAGAATAAGATTTAGCTTGTTACTAATAAACCTTAAATGTAGTGAAATATGCTTAGAAAGGCATTACATCACTTATACTTTACAAAGAAAATGTTTTTGTCAGTGGAATGACCCTTTAAAGCTCAAGTATATTGTCCTTTAAGTGTAATACCTTTCATAAAATGTGAAAACGTTCTTCTTTTTTAACTTGAACTTATAAATAATATCTTCTTTCTTTAATATTAACTTATAATTTCTTTACTTTCTTATATGATTAATTTTCGTCTTTAAACCCTTTGACATGTACCATTCATGAACACCAACACATTAGCTTCATCACCAGCATAGGCTTAGCATAGATGATAGACCTGAGTCCTTATTTGCAATTTCCAGATTAACCACGTCTCACACCACCTTTAACTTGAAGGATGTGGTAGAGCACTTCCTGGCTTTATCCTGAAATGTTGCGACTTTGACACAGTCTAATCACCGTAGCTTGCGGTCGTCATGCCGACAGTGCACCGCTGGCGTTGCTTCTCTGATGTGCTGGATGGTCCTTGAACGCAGCGTCGTCTCTCGCTCCAGTCTCGTTGTCTTTCCCACCCGCGCTGAGCAGGCGAGTTCTCACTGTAGCTCTTTTCACGACACAGACACAGGTCGGTTCTTTAAAACGGGCGTTTATTTCTTGGGAGTTTTCATCCTGTAGTCTTCCCTCTTCCGTTACGCCGTGAGAACTACAACACCGAAATGACACGCATACATAGCCAAACACATTAGCATATTGTGCTACACATATGAATGAAAATGAAAACACAAAACAAATACCTCGTTGGCCGCTTGTCGTGAAAGGAGATTAATTTAGTTCCTTTTCTGCATAACTTCGTCACAGACCTCCCGTCACACTAAACTTTATCACAGACCTCAGCAGAGCTTCAAAAAGACGTCAACCCACATGGAGTTGTACAGTGTAACAGCAAAACACGCAGTACCAGCACATGAACAAACATTAGTTCCTAGGCACAAGAAACACATACGCATATCGGCCCAAGATGTAAAACAAACTGTATTAAATCATGCCATATTTAACGATTATAAATAACATGAAATAAAGTATTCATTTATCCAATTGAACTATGACATTAACCGTGTTACTCCTTTTAATTAAGGCAACTTCGTTACGTCATTTACAAGTAATATCTTTTAAAAACTACAAGTCCTTTTCTATCAGCTGTGCACCGTTATGGTGTAAATATAACCTATTATCTACCAATTGGATCAAATATAAAAGTCAGCCGAATTACTATTGATACTGCAAGGAGACGTATTTTGTGAAAATAAATTGAAGATGTTGTTTAATTGTTGATATATTTATGATCCACATCAAGTATTCAGTTTTGGCGGCAGTTCCTCATGTTTGTCTAGAAGTCTTCTCATCAGGGCTCTATAAATAAAAATGTTCCCCCTATGAAAGTATGTACTCTTAATATTGTTTTCATCAAATAACATTATTCAACAAAAATAATTCAATAACGTGCTTTAACCACTAGGCGGTGCACACAAGGTACACACAGCATACTAATAATAACTTTGTATTATTAGTGTAGAACACTTATGTATGTATAACATCTGAAGATGTGTAGTTTTATTCATGTTTTTACATAATTTTACAGGATATTGCTATATTATTTCACATGTTTTACTTCTACACATTAATATCTGATTTGTAAAACATCACAGACAGAAAGGTATATCCGTCATTTAATGGTACGCTATTGAAATTCTGAATCCATAGATGTGTCTCCCATCACCCAAATCCCCTGACTATTCTCTCAACTCAGTATTTACATTCTTATATTCAAAGAAAATCAGTAATATCTTTAAAAACTACAAGTCCTTTTCTATCAGCTGTGCACCGTTATGGTGTAAATATAACCTATTATCTACCAATTGGATCAAATATAAAAGTCAGCCGAATTACTATTGATACTGCAAGGAGACGTATTTTGTGAAATAAATTGAAGATGTTGTTTAATTGTTGATATATTTATGATCCACATCAAGTATTCAGTTTTGGCGGCAGTTCCTCATGTTTGTCTAGAAGTCTTCTCATCAGGGCTCTATAAATAAAGAACTACGGCAGATGTATAATATTTAATGCAGCCGAACCGTGTATTACAATGCCGTTATGTGATGACTTCCAAAGAGAAAAGCAAGAACACTCTGAATTAGGTATTATTTTATTTTTCGTTTTCGGATATCACAACTTATTAACACCATATCCCAGCGTTTATTGCGGCTAAAACATCCAATCAACGAGCTTCAAGCTGAGGATCTTGGGTAATCAGTTCGGTGGGTTTGTGGTGTGTATCGCTCGAAATGTCCCGTCTGTTTCCGGTGACTTTATTTACGGCTAAAAAGCCCAAGATTATAGAATTAAACGAATAAATAAAAACAAGGATAATTGTGTGTTATGGTTGAGTAAATAACAGTGTGTTATTTAGAAAAGAATAACAAATTAGAAGGAAAAGATTTTAAAAAATACAGATTTCAGTATTTTGAGGCTCTAAACCCCATTTATTTTCCTCACAGACGGGAAAAAAGTCCGACATTATACAATTTAAAATAAAAACAATAAATAAAAAGATAAAACACTGGCATGTAATTTACGTTAGAATAAATAGAATGGTTTTGAATAATAGATGATAGTAAAACGTCACTTTACAGCCCCGCCCACTTTTGGGGAAACCAACGCTGTCATTTGAACGGCGATCAAGCCTGAAGCCACAGAGCTCTTCTTTTACTGTCCTTTCTTCTTAGAGGAAGTACAGAAACAAGTAACTCTGGATTTGTTTTAATGTTTGAGGTAAACGACACAGCAGCTTTTTGTCATGTTAAAACTATTATTTTCTGCCTCGCTCATGAGAGTAACAGCTGCCGAAATTACAGCCTCGCCTACTGATTTAATTTAACCATATATCGAGCCCGATTCTCGATTTCAAATGTGTGCTCTAAAATGATATTTATAAATGACTATTATCATTATTATAAGCAAGGCAATAAATGGCAAAGATATGTAGAAAATAAACGTATTTAAGATACGTTCATAACGAACGTAACGTGGGAGAAAATACGTTTCTAGAAGATATGTAGAAAATAAACGTATTTAAGATACGTTCATAACAAACATAACGTGGGAGAAGATATGTTTCTAGAAGATATGTAGAAAATAAACGTATTTAAGATACGTTCATAACGAACGTAACGTGGGAGAAAATACGTTTCTAGAAGATATGTAGAAAATAAACGTATTTAAGATACGTTCATAACGAACGTAACGTGGGAGAAGATATGTTTCTAGAAGATATGTAGAAAATAAACGTATTTGAGATACGTTCATAACAAACGTAACGTGGGAGAGAAAATACGTTCTAGCTAAACGTAATTGAGAATGCAGTTTAGTTCTGTGGGAACGTAATTTTTAGGAGACAGGGTTGCAAAGATGACAGAAAACATACATTATTGTACTGAGTTTGACAGGGTATTACTCAAAAAGTACACGTTCAAATTACTTGATTGTACTTGTGGCAGTAGTCCAAGTAGTACTCTGTCCAACAGTACCACTTTGACTGAGAACTTATGGCAAAAAATTATTTTATCTCTCATCAAAGATGGCAGAAAACATACATTATTGTACTCTGGAGGGGAGTTTGACAGGGTATTACTCAAAAAGTACACGATACAAGTACTTGATTGTACTTGTGGTCGTACTCCAAGTAGTACTCTGTCCAGCAGTACCACTTTCACTGAGAACTTATGGCAAAAAATAATTGTATCTCTCATCAAAGATGGCAGAAAACATACATTATTGTACTCTGGAGGGGAGTTTGTTTTGTTTTTTTTAGCGATCGCGGCCACTCTAGTCAATGTGTGCTATTCCACAAGACACGCTGCGCCGCGGCTCGAAGCGTCCCAGAAGCTCCTCACTGCAAGGAATTTCTAAAATATAGGATGAATCCTATTTTTTACGCAGCGCGGCGCGGCGCGGCGCGGCGCGGCGCAGCGCGGCGCAGCGCGGCGCAGGCAGGAAGTGGAACGTTCATCCGGCCCAGGCCCATCCCCCAAATAAACTCGTGTTGCAGACCCCCTTTCACGACACCCAAAATGGACGAAGAGCGTTTCATCATCGAAGTGGAAAAACACACTATTTTGTATGACATAACCCATCAATACTACTAAGACAACGTCAGAAAGGACAAGGTCTGGTGTTTAGTCGGTGGAGTTATTGGAGTGGAAGGTAAATATTAATGTTTTAAAGTTAATGAATACTTGTATGTACAGTACAGAGCCATTCAGTAGTTTAACATGTTATGAAAGTCATTAAAAAAATTAGTAAACTTGCATTTCACAAGAAAGTAAGATCTTATTTCCTATATCCAAATATAAACATATATATATACTGTATATCAGTGGCGAGCCGTGACTTTTATACCTAGGCCCTCTGACCCCCCCTTCCCTCGAGAAAAAAAATAAGAGATATTACGTCTCAACATAGACTTCAGCGGAATATCAAAACAGTGGTCCGGGGTCTAAAACGCATCAATGACAGCGACCCTCTACCACACAGAACAACACCATTTATATAAACACCTATCATGACAGGGCACCCACAGCCAAGTAGCAATTACAAATGAATTAAGTCGGCACGGCGGCCCGCATTGAAAATGACCTTTGATGATCAAATCACTAAAACACAAAGTCCATCCTCCTGTCCTTTTGGATGAAGCACTTGCGGGTCATTCAGCTGATCCTTTGCCACTCCAGTTTATCATTGTAACTCAATCTTGAAAATGACTCGGTTAATAATTTCGCAACGATGTCATCACTATCCAGACCCGGCGCCAGAACAAATCTAAAGGGAGGGCATATGATTTTCATGGGAGGGCACACAAAACCGTCACGTGCTGCGGGCCTGCGGCACAATATATATCAAACAGCAAGGCCAACGGCATTGCGTAAAGATGCACACTTATCGCAAACATACACAAATAAAGGTCAACGTAGCAACCACTTTGAAACATTGTGTGCGTGGCAGCACAGACACTGGTAAATCACGAGCAAGGCACACTGGTTACGGATGGCAGCTTCCTCATCGCTGCACTCGGAGAGAAATAGTAGAGACGGAGACGTTAAACTGTTTAGCCCGCCTTGGGCATGGTTTATGTTCCTATGCACTGCACTCGGACATGCTGTGGTGTGAATCGAGTCACCTCTGAGAGGGAGTTGGTTGACAGCTAAAAAAGCTATATTATCAACGACAGCTGACACGTAATAACGGCTCCATGCCGGTTGATCTGCACCAAGGTTCTAATTTCCTTATTTGTTTCCTCGCGTATCTCTCTCTCTCCACAAACTCTCACATGAAATGTGTTCTTTTGATGCGGCATGCCTTAGCAGTCCTTTATCAGTCTGTAATGCGTGTTTCCAGTCGCAAAAACCTTTGACAGTAAAAGCCGCATCAGATGAAGACGTATTCACTTTAAACTGTCTACAGGGGAATCAAAAGGCTGCGTCTGCTTTTAACAACTCTTCAAGCCATGGTCTGTTGTGTTCCATGCAGCGGCAAAAGTGCGCTTCTTTCCTGAAAACAATCTCCCTGGATAACGATCCAGCTTCACCTGCTTGGGTTTATTAACCCCAAGATCATCGCTAACTCAGCCCCGGGGTTTGCCGAGGTCAAGCTTGTGACATAAGGCGTGCTGCTGCAACGGCAGGTGCAGGGTCGCCAGCAGCACCATCGGCTGCAGTTCTTTCATCCCTATTTCGTTTTAATAAATCATTAGACCTTTTAAGCCAATTTGTTTTGATGTCCATTTTCTAATTTAAACAGAAATGGGAGTCTACAGAATGCACAATAAACAAATCCAGAATAGGCGGCAGAGTGTGACGCTGTGATTGGTCTATATGGGGACGAATCACAAATCACAACAGACACATGCATTTATTTGACGTAGCATGGCGCCTGCGATTTTTTTTGTTTGTTCTGACATCACATACATCGTAGCATAAAAGTTCACAGTTTATTTATAATAAAAAAAATTTAAAAAAAAATTTTTTTAATTGTTATAAATAATAAAAAAACGTGTTTATTGGGGGAGGGCAGGAATGTCAAATGGGAGGGCCTGG